ATTTTTGAGGGGGCACAAGTGAAGGGGGAGGGGGGGGGGCTCTCATGCTTGTCATGTGACACACAGCAGCCACAATATCATTGTATAACTGATATAGGCTTATGTCCCTACTGAAAATAAATAAATAAATAAAACCATCGCAGAAAATTGTAATGGTTTCCACTACAAATTGCCATTACAAACATTACAAACCATCAACTTTTAACCATTAAAAATGGTTTTCTGTAGTGTGTTTTGGGACATATTCCATTAGGATTTATTGGTTTTAACAAGCCACCTATAGAAGGCAACCAATTACCAGTAGAGACCAACAGGGTCCATTACAGTTTCCAGTAAAACCAATACAAGTCCCATTATAACCAGTAAAACCATTACAAATTTTGTAATGGTGTCTATTGTTTTTTCAGCAGGGGTTTTATTAATTTTTTATTCGAAATATTCCAAAAATATATCATGAAATATTCTCGATTCTCAAATATGTGTAAGTAAATGCATTTTACACTTCATAGATTATGTTAGTTGATATAATGGGCGATGGGGCAAAGTAGTGTAATCTATTAACTTTGCATAAAATCTGTCTCTTTACTTAAGTACCAGATATGGGTGTCATACCATAACATATTTTTAATATGACTGACTTTGTATTTAATGTGAATTTAATAAAAACATTGTAAGTTACTAATTAGCCTGTTTTATTTTCCACGATTTGAGAATTAGCCAGAGAATTCAGTCAGCCAGTGCGCGCGGTGACTCATCTGAAGGCCTCTGATTGGTCCTTGCATTCATAAACAACAGAATCCGTATGTGATTGGTTATAATGCGCAGTGCTTTAAAACACCGTGTGTCTCTGGCTCTGTGCCTATGGAAGCATATAGGTAGCGAAATTCATATGTGCCAGCCAGCGAACGCAGATTTGAATTTAGCATGTTTTTCTTTTTTATATATATAGTTTACTGGACAAACTGCGCATTTCAAACAAAATTGCTTGTTGTGTGATATGATTCCAAATTTAGGGGGGCCAAGCTTGTTGACAGGCCCCCCTGGCCACCCCCTAGAACCGCCCATGTATCAAAATGAACCTTAATAGAAGATAAGTACGCGACTCTTACTCAAAGGACCAAGCTTGGAAGGTGGTGGCCGAGGTGGTTGGTGAATCTGGTGTGTGTCGTGCGTGTGTTGTGTTTGTGTACTCTGTTTATCATTGAATTACAGTAATGATGTAATGAATTAATTAATGTGATTGGCTGTTGTCACTATGAGGTTGCTTCAGCACCAAGCTTCAGACTCACCCTGCGTCTAGCGTCAAGGGTGCCGCCCCTTCATCCTTACAAAAATCAAGGATATCTTTCATTCTGTGGGTTTCTATTTCTGCGACGACGCTGCTGGGACAACCATAGATGGGGACAACAGCATACAGCTTCCGTTTGCTGTGATTATTTATTGATTCTGTCGCGTCTGGTGTGAACAGACAAATTATTTGTCGCAGGAATATTATCACGGTGTTAAGGTAATTTAGATAATTGCAGTCCTCGTATGCCAATTTTAAACCAGTGCTAAAGTGCTCTTGAAATTTAACCGAGTGAAGCTACTAGAATGTTTTAATAAATGAAATCTGGTTGTGGTGTTAACATGTGGCTTGTTTAAACTTGTTTATGTAGGTGCAATTCTCTTTTAATCTTAGAATCACAAACTTAGATGTGTACTTTCATCATCTTTACAAACACCTTTTAAACGTGTTTGCATTTAGAAGAATAAAACTCGTTTTCCACACGTGGTTGTGTAGGCTGTATAGTCAATCCGACAGGGGCAGTTAAAACCTCTGGACTTTGTCCAGAACCAAAGAGGTGCTGCAGCTCAAATTGCAGCCGACGAAAACACATGTGCTTAAGGAAAAAATAAAAAGGCTTAAATATTCAATGCCACGTATTTTACTTTCATATTCAGTAGCCTACACCGTTCTCGCAGATAGACACATATTTCTGATTTTATTCATTCTGCCGTTTTGCTGCAAGGTAAGCGGATTTTGCTGAAAATATGCACGAAGCAAAGCATTTGAACCAAATAAGGGATTATGGTGAAACTTTTAGAACTTTTCTGCGAGCCATGCAGATGTAACTTGATTTTAAATGTAAATTATGTGTGCAAAAATGTACAATACGATTAAAAAAAAAACATGCAGTGTTGTTTTGCAGATGTTGCTGTTTTGTCACTCTAATTCTGATCATGTTTTTTCATGTTTGTTTTTGTTTAATTTAATTCATAATATTAAATTAAGATTTTTTTTTCTGTGATATCTGAATTTGTTATTGTCTTACTAGTATTAAGTATCTAATGTTTTGCACCAATTATAATGTAAGGTGTTTAAATGTGTTGGTCACTGACGAAAGTGTCAGATTTCAACGTCAATGACTAACATAAGAAATCAGTAATATTAGATATTAATGCTTTTAATATAGAAAAGGAGCGCATTCCATATATTTGCCGGTGCCTTGTTTGGAAAGAGAAACTTTTCCCCCCTCCTTAAAGGGACTTTAAAGGGGTCATATGATGCGATTTCAAGTTTTCCTTTCTCTTTGGAGTGTTACAAGCTGATTGTGCATAGATAAGATCCCTGAAGTTGCAAAGACTAAAGTCTCAAAACCAAAGAGATATTCTTTATCAAAGTTAAGACTCTAAGACCCCTAAAACGGCTCGTTCTAACACGCCCCCACATATCTACCTCACTATGTGGAAATATTAGCATAATGCCGCCCAAATGTGCACGCAAAGAAAGAAGGCGTGGTTTCAGTAACCGCAGTTAGTAGCAGCCATGTCAGGGAGACGCTGTGTGTTTCTAGGCGAAAGCAAAAGCACTTTATTTGGCCTTCCGAAAGTAGATGCATTTAGGAATCTTTAAGATTACTTACAACAGAACAGCAATGCATTTTATGGACGACCGTTTCGTGAACCTAGGAGAGGAGGTAATGCTGACTTTGCTATGACAATCTGGAACTTCTGAATCAGCTACTGTTTTGTTATTAGTTTAAGTATTTGCTATTGACTGTTCAAATGTGGAGTTTTGCGCATCGTGTGTGTGTGCGTGCGTCAGAGACAGCGTCACATCAAAGTGGAGTCAGCTGTCTTAACCGCGGCTTGAATAATGATCTTTAAAAAAGCATCATATGACCCCTTTAAGGAGGGGGGAAATAAAAAATACTCTATGAGGAAATAAAAATTCTCTAATTTCTTTCCTAAGCCTGGTGTTTATTTTTTTGTTGGACAAAAAAAGTAAAAAAAAAAAGTTTGAAGAATCATCAGCGCTCTTTTCCATTAAAAAAAAGGTTCACAAAGACCACTTTTGTAAAGATTTATTTGCCTGCGCTATCCTTTTAAGAATAGTATTCTATTCAGTGTCCAGGGGCCTCATTTATAAAATGTTGCGTATAAACCGTCTTAAATTTGTTCTAAGATCATTTCTCAAAAGTGCGTAAGTGCGATTCAGAGAAAACAACGTGCGCACAAAAACACGTGCGTACGCCTCTCTTCCAGATGTGACATTTATAAATCGCAAATGATCTTGAAATTGTGCTTGACTGGTGTCAGATCTCCGGCTTGTAAACGCCCCCTAATTAATATCATTACCATATAAAAGAGCACACGCCAATATCCGAATTTCTATGCTTGAGAATGACGAGCCCAAAGAAAAAAAAACTTTACTGAGTCTGAAATCGAGGTCCTGCTGGCGGAGGTAGAGGTTCGTGCGGGAGCGCTTTTTATTTAATAATGAGTCATTATTCTGTGGACAAACGATGTGTGTGTAGTTATATTTTTTCTATTGAGTATTATCAAAATTACTACTTCTAGAAACAACATAAATAATAATAATAATAATAGTAGTAGTAGTAATTATAAAACAATTAGGTTTCCAAAAGTAAGAATAAACTACGAATTCAAGTAAAATTTTCAGTCATCTTATAAAAAGTGAGCCATCCTACTTTTAAAATCACTTGGTATGACAACTAATAAAAAGTTTATTATCACGAAATTCTTGCAAAACTTTAAAAACATTATTGAAAGAAAAATTGGACGTTTCATATCATAATAAAATCTTAAAAAAGAAAAAACACGTGCATGTGATTTGACATTTCTTTATATTTACACGGTTTACTAATGCTGCTCAAATGTGCCATTAATGTACTGACACAAAAATATATAGTGTATTTTATGCAAATATAACTGATGTAGCCTACATGACAAAAACAAAGTTTAAGGCTGATGTCTCTATTCATTTTCACAGAAGCAAAGCAGCAGATGTTATAAATAAAAACAGTTAACAATGTTATTGAATAGAATATATTAAAACCGTTATTGCACGACATAGGCCTATTCTTATAGGCTACACAGACAAAACAGTCGAGATGCGTTTCTGCATTTTTTTTTTCTATTTTACGCATTACTAGTAAATCAAGACTTTGCAAGTTCTCTTGTAAAATAAAATAATACAAAAACAACAACATGGAATAAACTGTGTACAGAAAGCAAGTAAAGAACTCTCAACATTATGCTACTAAAAAGGTCAGTTTAATCTCGCAAAACCTCCCGTTAATAAAAAAATCTGACTACACTGCACAATTAATCTCTTACACTGCATCTTCGTTGTTTATGATGAATTCGGTGCTTGCACGTACACCGCTTGTATTATTATGCTTATAGTTCAAATAGCTGCGGTGCTCCGACTTTGCCACAAGGAAAAGTGCGTACGCCTACTCAGACCCTGACGTGGCGGTAAGTACTTTTCCACGTCAAAGACCGTTTTTATAAATATGAACGTTGCCGTGGATTTTAGCGTACGCACACTCTAAGATCAAATCTGTGCGTACGCACATTTTATAAATGAGGCCCCAGGAATGGTTATAGAACATGTGACATATATATACGATCTGAACAGAACACATCCCTTCCTGGGCAGTATATTATTCAAAGTAAAAAGTTTTAATCCACATCTTTTTGTTTCAGGCTTTACAAAATGTCCAGAGAAGACAATGCCACAGACTATGATGGTATCTTTACAGAACTTGAAGTCACAGAAAATGCAATCAAGCAGTACCAACATGTGATCAGGATGATCTACTTAATTACATATTCTGTTGTCCTGATCCTCGGTGTCTCCCTCAACTTCATCGTCATTATCATCAGCTGCCTGAAAAACAAGAAAACGCCAACGGTTTCCACTTGGATTATGGCGTTGGCTGTAACACACTTAGTCTCCAGCGCATTTGTTGTTCTTCAGCTCCTGTATGCTTACAATAACTTTGAATGGAATTACGGAAAAGCAAGCTGCAAGCTGTCATCCTATATCACCTACGGCAGTATGTTCTCCACAGCAGCCATGCTGAGTCTCTGGAGCATTAGTTCTGCTTTTTTAAAAAGCGATTGCTTAAAAAATTGCAAGAATTGTAACATCATTCTGATTTCATTCTCCTGGTCTATTGCAGCAGTCTTGGCATGTCCTTCGCTGTTTTCCAGAGAGGTGCGATCTTCTCAGTGCATTGATGATTATGACTTGGACAAATCGAAAACAACTCAAGACGGCATTGCTAGGCTGAAGGCAGTCGTTATCATGAGATTTCTTATCGGGCTTCTTGTGCCAGCTTTGATCATGTTTCTCAGCTGTTTGACATCAGCTCATAGAAGGTATAAAGATTGCAATAAGCAGGCACAGATCATCTGTGCTATAAAGATTGCCTTCTTTGTGTTCTGGGGCCCTCAAATCTTCTTAACCATGCTTCAAGCCACTCTTACCGACAGCCTGGGTCCAAGTATGTTGAAATATGGACTTCCAGCAGCTACTGCATTGGCCACAGCCCACCCTTTTATCAGCCCGATCATCTATTTGTTATTGGGATGTAGTATTAAAATGAAGTGGATGGCACGTGACCCAGGTTTATAACACTGTTGCCTTGCACCAATAAGGTCCCCAGATCAAGTCCCAAATGAGCCATGAGTTTTTCAGAGGTGAATTGGAGACACTAACTTGTCTGTGTAGTGAATGAGAAAGAACCATGCTTCAAGCCACTCTTACCGACAGCCTGGGTCCAAGTATGTTGAAATATGGACTTCCAGCAGCTACTGCATTGGCCACAGCCCACCCTTTTATCAGCCCGATCATCTATTTGTTATTGGGATGTAGTATTAAAATGAAGTGGATGGCACGTGACCCAGGTTTATAACACTGTTGCCTTGCACCAATAAGGTCCCCAGATCAAGTCCCAAATGAGCCATGAGTTTTTCAGAGGTGAATTGGAGACACTAACTTGTCTGTGTAGTGAATGATAAAGAGTGTTCCCCAATGATGGAATGGTCATCCGTGCAGTGTTTCCTCCACCCTTGGACCAGCATCCCTGTGACCCTACAGAGGATAAGCAGTTTGAAGAATGGATGGATGACCCAGATCACAACAATGAACTGATATGCTTAGGAAAATGCTGCCCATGAATTGTACACAGGCATTAAAGATTGATGTAGCAATTCTAAAATACATCAGCAAGGACTGTTAAATATACACCACGTCCACAAAAATGCATGCCAGCACTTTCTGTATTCAAACTGACAAGTGGACCATTTCTTACTCCTAATCCAAACTCTGAAAATTGATTATTATGAAAACTGGCCCTGTATGGTCCAAATTCATGCTTGCTTTCAAGTTAAATGCTGATTTGTTGATACACTGCATCACATGTATATACTTACTGCTAGAAAAAGCATTGCTACAGAAACACTAACCCACTATCAACTTTATATCCTGTAGGAATATCAACCTTATTGAGGACCATTTGAAGCTGAAGCTTTTTTTTTTGTTGTTATTTTGAAACTGGGAGCACTTGTTACATTTTAAGAAGAATGTCATGTACATTAATATTAATCTGTTTCATTCTTATTCTGAGATCACCGTAGTCACCTGGATTTGACTGTTTATTATTGTCCTCTTTGTAGAGCTGCTTTACAGCAGAATTGAATTTTGTTGAAACATTATTTTCATGTTTAATGCTGTAAAGCTGCTTTGATACAATCTGTACTGTATAAAGCACTATATAAATAAAGGTGACTTGACAAATGAGAAAGAGAGAATTCTAAGTTGATGAAGACTAATCACTGTGCATCTACAAAACATTTCATATGCAGTATACAAACTGTCTCATAATCCAGGACTACGCAATGGCCAGATGAGTTTAATCAACAACAACAATATTAAATAAATGTTTGCGGGAATTTTCCAAACGTGCGAAACCTGCGAACAGGAGTAAAACCAAAATGCGCAATCCCGCACCGAGATTCAGGACATGATTAAACAAATATTCTGTTATATAGAGATTTGTAAAATACATTTCCACGACTTTTCCGAAGCTTTCTGGGGTTTTCATGACCGTACGAACCCTGTAAATGGCTATTTTTATTTTTTTTAATCGTCTTGATGAAATTTCTGCTCCACTTTGTCTGGAGGTAGTGAGACGGGACAAAGTCCCTGTAAAAATACATTTTTTTCCGAAGCTTTCTGGGGTTTTCATGACCGTACGAACCCTGTAAATGGCTATTTTTATTTTTTTTAATCGTCTTGATGAAATTTCTGCTCCACTTTGTCTGGAGGTAGTGAGACGGGACAAAGTCCCTGTAAGATATTAGCGTATTCTATAGTCTTTGGACGGGAGAGAGCGCTCGAAACTCTTCAGATTAAGTTAGTGGAACATTAATATAATAATAGAATCATCCTCTGTAAAGAAGTGAGGCGTGAACATGTGAGAATTTATCATTATCTTTGTAAATGTGCGCTCTTTTGGGCTAAAGGCTTAATGGAACCGTTTAAAGTAGCCATGTGATCACAAATTAATCGGCGATTCGGCGCAATACGCGTGTCCTTTTTATATGTGGAAAAAAAATAATTAATTCCAGTTTATGCTGTTTGATTATGGCTTCGAATGTCGTAGTTGGAAGCTGGAAGTTGTTAGCCCCGGCTGGCCCGTGCGCGCTGTTGAAATGCGACTACTAATTTCTGACTGACACATAACTGAACAAATGTAAACGGGTTAAGGCGGGGCCCCTGGGCTGCAGCCCAGTCAAGCCCAGTGGTAAGTCCGGCCATGTATATGTGTGTGTGTGTATGCAGGGCCGTCCTTAGGGGGTGCAACTGGTGCGAACGGACTGAGGGGGAGGATCGCGAAAGAACAGTTTAATAGCTGAGCCCAAGCCTCCTTTACTAATTTGAAAACGCCACTTTAGAACTAGTAATGAAGGAACGTTGAGTTGCTTCATTAAAAGCTTATTGTATTACTGTATTAAAAGTTGTGCATTATGTGGAGTAGAGTATTATGACAGAGATTGACTGAGCGAATGTGATTAACTTACCGGCATCTGATACAGCATTCATTCTTTAGATCACTCATATTAACAATAAACCATTAGTTTGAATTAGTAATGGCGAGATGAAGCCTCATGAAGCACTGAAGATTTTCAGCCAAGAGGTTCAGAAAAGGGTTCATTTCTCGAGGCTTCATTTGCTCACACTACCACCTGGTTGCCAAAGAGTGTAAAACAAGAAGATACATTACAGATGACCTGATGTGATCTGTGATACACTGTATTTTGCGCCAGTTAAGGCTTAGAAATAATGGTGAAGAAAAAAATCAATTTCCATATAGACTAATCTATTTATATGAATATAATGTGTATTTTCTAGTGGTATATAATGATTGTATAAAATAATGTAACAGAACTGTGTAATAAATGTATTGGCTTGAAATGAATGGGGATATCAAATGTGTGTAAATCAAGTCTTTGCTCATAATAGGCAGGAGGGGCAATATTATTAGTCTAAAACTGGAAAGTGGCTGGGTTTAACAGGGCAGAGGACTGAATTTACAAGATCTGAACCGCTTCCTGAACCAGTCAGGCCAAGCGAGGCTTTGGACGTCATCACTGACATCATTGCTCTAAAGCAATACAAGCCTCCATACGTGCTTCACTGAAAGCTGCCGAGATTTCTCGACACACGCTCTGAAGCCTCGGCACGGAACGTAACATCACAAGTTTGAATGTCTGCTGAGGAAAGTAATATCTTTGTCGTACTATCCTTTCATCTGTTAAGGCTGATTTCCGATGACAGAGCTGCTCAGTGCATTTAATGGCTGCTTCAAGCTGTTGTTAAAAGTAATAAGTTCCTTGATCAAAACAGCGCTTTAGTCTCTTTCAATATATAAGTCTTTACTGCTGACTGGTAAAACTGTGTCTTGTCGCCATCGAATGGCGGAACAACGTCACTAAAATCACCATCACGAACACACACACACTGTTTCCCAATACTAAATACCATTACATATAAAATATTGTTTGTTGAATAATAATGTTTGATAACAATAACAGCCATCATAAAAGCTAGGCAATGTAGTCAAAAGTACAAAGGCAACGCTATACACAGAATTTAAGTATGAAAAATGTGATATGATGAGATTTTGCCCTCAGCCAAAACTATTTGGTCTGGAAGAAATAATATATTAATGAGACCAAAGACTGCTCGTTAGATTTACCCGAAACAAATTATATCTCATGTTTAACCACTGTAGAGACATCAGATCCAGTGACAATTCCAGAAGTTCTGGCCGAGGTAAGGCTGCTCTCAGCGGGTTCATGAGTGCTGAAAGGCCACTGACGCCTTGGAGCTCACATCACTGAAAATGTTAAAGCACATTTTCAAATAGACATTATCTTTATTAACAAACCGCATATTTGAAGTCTAAACAACTACATTCTCACCTAAGAAACTCTTAAAACACAAAAAAATTATTTTTAAATTATTGTGGATTTGGTAGTCCGCCAAGACACTCGCTGTGAGAAATACCGCAAGCAGAGTGATACAAACAGTAAAATGGCAAAACGACAAAACGAGTAAATCGACAAACCCCGCCCAAATACACGCATTTTGGCGGGGTTCCCCTGGTAAAATTCGCATAACGGGCTAAATAGCACGTTATTGGGGTCGCTACAACCCGCAGCAACAATGTTAAAGTAGCCCAATTCCACGGGAAAACCGCAGACTTTGCAACACTGGTTGGAGGAGTTCTGTTATCACTCTAATATTGCACTCTTATCAGCCAATCAGATTCAAGGACCAGAAAGAACTGTTGTATATCAGGGTTGTATATTCCTCCGAGGAGGCAATGGAGGCAGTGTCTTCTCAAAATATTGGATGATAACATTTTTTGAAATATATCATTAAAAAGTGTATAAATCACTAAAACTTTTAAAGAAATATTGTCCAACAGTGACACCAGCAGGTAAAGTTTCAGCGGGAGTCCGCGCGTCTCTCTCGCCTCCCCTGAGCACATTGAGTTTGAACAGATCCCCTAAAGCATGCAGTGAGTTTGGGAGTTTGTGGGAGTTTTTAGTGAGTAATCAGCTTGGTGAAATTGAAAGCAGCCTAAATCTCCGTGTCTGTGACCATTTCCCAAGCTTTGACGACGGATAATCTGAAAAATTCCAAAATAGTTAATTATTAAAAAGAATAGCTGAACATAAGTTCACAACTAAAATATATTGTTAAATTGTTACTGCCTTAAATTATTTTGTAATAAATTTAAAATGCTTAAAAACATTAACTTGATGAGATTCATACATGGCATTAATGAATACAATATTGATTACGTTGTTAATGTAAAAATATAAAACAGATTCTTTTAGCCTAAATGTTTATTTAACCAAGGAAATGTGACTGGGACATGAATTTACATTTGATTAAAAGAAAAAGAAAAGAAGAAGAAGAAGAAGGACTTTGCTTCCTCATTTCAGAACACCGAGATATACACAACACTGATATATATATATATATATATATATATATATATATATACAGTGGGTACGGAAAGTATTCAGACCCCCTTAAACTTTTCACTCTTTGTTATATTGCAGCCATTTGC